GATTTTTTCTTCACTGGCAAGTGCCAATACTGTGGGCAGGTGGCTGACACCTACCACATTGTTTGGGCTGGCTAGCTCAACTCAGCCCTTCCCCCCTCTTTCTAACCCAATCAAAGAGGAGTGGGAGGCGACTCTGCTGGTTTGCTCGAACCTTCAAGCCCCAAGGGCTTTGGTCCAGAGGGCCAGGCTAGCGACTGTCACCAACGGGGTCCCGGAGTAAGGACTCCATCCACTATGGAGCTTCTAAAGGGCTGCACCTCTCTCTTGTTTTTTCAATGAATGTTCTCACTCACTCACTCTACCGTCCTAACCGTGATAATGATTATGATGGTGAACTCTCGTGAGCATCGTGCCACCTACCACTGAGCTGCTGTCTACCCTAAAACTGCAGCCTATTCACGAGACTTGCGTGCACCATGAGGTGCAAACGACTTTACAGGGGGCAATATCATTCCCACAAGCTAAAGCAGCCATACTGATTCGTTCTTTCGCAAAACAGCGTTTAGCTATTGGGCACACCAATGAGAATAAAGCAACAAAATGGCATTTTCAAACCCACACGCGAGGAAATGATGTTCCATTAGTTTCAATTTAAGCCACATAGACAACTGATGTCCATGGTGGGGCTGCGTTTGAGTTTTGCTTTTGTTCCAAATTGTTCTTCTTTAATTTCTGAGCTTCGCCAGCAGCCCAAAAGCTGCCGAATCATCCAATATGCGGTCTAATCTGTCCGAAATAATGAGTGCCCAGTCTCGTAGAGTGATGTGTATATTTACAGCTACCAAATCACGTGCCCAAACTATTCGGTGTTTTGTATCAACGAGAGTCAAATTAACGAGTCTTTACTGTATATATATTCTGCCAGGTTAGTTAACTCATGAAAATATGCCCATTTTTTATAACATGTCATCTGTACTATTTGAAATCAATTTAAGGGGGGACACAGCACTTAAAAGTAGAAAATCGACCCAAAAAATAAATTTTCTCTCTCATCATTTTCATGTTCTCGATGCCCTTCCACACCTATCAGCTAAGTTTGGCTTCAAAGTTCCACTTATTTCACGAGTTATAACCCATAAAGAGAGCAACTTCGCACTAGCAGATCTCTAAATTGAAGTGCAAACTAGCCGTACTTCAACCGCCGACGGCACCCGAACAACGCTCTTCACCAGCATCATTTTGGTCTTGTTCTAAAGGTCGCGTTTCTAGCTTTTTTTCTTTTCTAGTAGACAGCTATGTGCCCCTCGCAAAAACAAAAAAAGCAAAGTCGAAATCACGTGCAACGCATGATTCTATTGCTAGCTTGATGCACGTGACCAAAATGGCGTTTCCCGATTGGCCAGAAAAACTCGCTGGCAGTGTCTTCCGCCATTTTGAAAAGGTATCGCCCTTTCGAAAGTGTCGACACTCGTGTCCCTAACGTGCTTGTGCATCTCCCTATGCCCGACGGTGCAAAAAAGTTCCGATTGCAGCATCATTTTCATCATTCATGAAAGAAAGGCAGAAAGCCCATTGGTGCTGCTACTGTGTCGCGGGAGCAAGCGCCTATGTTGTTTGATAACGTCGTCATAACTGAAGACAGTTCCTCGTGCGTGCGCGGCGTGGACGCTGGCCACCCGTGTACTGAAGATGTTATCAATGGAGGAGTGTGCAAGACAGCTTCCCCGGATAGCGGTCGCTCTGTGAATTATGACCGCGCCCATGCTATCAGCAACGGTAAACTGCCGGTGGACACAGGCCTTTCTGATAGCACGCTATGTCGACTCTGGCTGTGCAGGTAGATGCTAATGTGCTAATGTGATCGGTGCCTGTGAAGCTCGTGACGCGAGCACCCACGAGACAGCCGCGGCACTTGAGGGTCTTTTGTTGGTGTCGGCAACAGCCAGAAAAATTGAGTGCTTTTCGGAGTCAGGGGGTGTGGCAGCGAGTCAAGATGCCAGCAAGACAAGACTCAGAATTCACACGAAAGCCTCAAATTCGTGATTTGAGTTTGGTATCAAAGGAGCAGCATGCTTCTCTTTTTACTGTACAAGCTGCTGCTGCTGCAGAAGCTGTGCTGTGCTTTAACACAGGCAAGTTCAATACATTGCTGCAATTCTAGAGCAGCTGGATATCACGATATTCAGCAGCACATTCCTGAGGGCTAGGGAGAAGGACTGTCATCAGAGTGCTACCTTAAATAAATAGAAAGAAGCGTCCCAAAGTGTGAGAAAGCTGGTCAAGGAGAAGTATAAGGATCGGAAGCATTCAGATTATGCCCCTGGAGAATTTTTATAAGATTTTATTAGTATCTTTTTCAATAAAGGTGTTTTGAAACATTTTTTCTCATTTTCTCAAAACATAAATTTTGGCACATTTGCCAAAGGTCAGGGAATATAAGTTCTGTTCCATTCGAGCTATCAGCATATACAGTCAAAACCCTCTACAAGGAAACTCACGGGGCGTGAAAAATATTTGGTTGAAGCGAGCATTTCGTTGTAGTGAAATAAAAAAAATATAGCTGATCTGAGCTAGCAAAACAAAGGAACTTTTGTTCTTAAAATTAAAAAAGTGTTCGCTGCTTCCTATTCTTCTCCAGCAGCATCACGACGCAATTCACAGTCATGCATAGCGAGGCTATGGTGAAAACCACGCTGAAACTACACCTACAACCACTTTTGTGAACGTACCAAACTGTTGCAGTAACACGTTAACACCAGTAGTTGTCCGCCGTCAAAGTGTATCCGACAACGCCGAGATGGAGGCAGGGTATCGTGGAGAGGTGACATTTACCTTATTCTCTGCCATTCTTATGATCCATCACTCGCGGCTAGCTGATTTGGTTGATGATACAGATGAACAGCCGCTCTGGTTAGATACCAGACTGGCTAAGCACAAATAAAATGATAAGCATTAGAATCGGAAAAGGCATCGCTCGGCGTTTGCACCTGGCAGCTGCATGAAGGAAACCATGAACTGAGCGACTGAGCTTCAGCTTCAGATCGTCTGCGGCTCAAATACAAGCAAGTGGCAAAAGCAGGGCCTGGCAGAGCAGTCTCATTGCTAACGCTATCGAGCAATGGCGGCACCCATGTTTGCTGAACAGTGGCGGTTCCTGGTGGTGCCAAAGCGAGTTTTAGACTTTGTTGACAGATTTTCAAGTTCTGAAAATGCATCAAAATGTTAAAGATTGGATTTTCTGTATAGCAACAAATATATGAACCTAGAATTGCATCGTGAAATTTCGTTCAAGCCGGACGGCAGAAAAAAAAAAGTGTTCATTGTGGCGACAATATTTATGCATTGACTCCTATGAAATGCTGACGGGGAACCGTGAATTTCTTGTTGCAGCAGCGTTCGTTGTAGAGGTGTCAGACTGTGTCTATTTTGAAGGCAATAAACAGACCAAAACTTTTTTTATAGGGTTACTTGCGTGACAGGTGAAGGTGGCTTGTTTTTCTCTGAACATTGATGTCCTCTAACTCTTGTTTAAATTGACCCAGCAAAGTAATTTATAACATATTGCACTCCTTGAACATCCTACATTGTTTCTACATTGTCGCCAAGGTTTCTGTGCTTCCTTTTTAGATGCTAATTAGGCTGCAAACAAAGGACCCAGGCTTTACATTGATTGTAGAGTATCTTGCAAACTACTTGACCTATCAAAAAAACTAAATACATTTTTAAAATCTCCACATTTATATACACAAACTTTGAAAATTTCTTTCACATCTATACATAAATAAAAAAGTTGCCCATTAAGTGTAGCTTCCCACTTTAATATTATTTAACCAAAATCACTTTGTTTTGAATTTGCTTTGAACCTAAAACTCACTGTTCACACAAACCTATTTAGAGGATCTTTTTGGGCTCTGTGAGTGGTGCCAAATGATGCTCCTGTTTTACTTCCACTACTGTACACTTTGTCAATTTATAGAAGCAAGCTCATATTACAAGATTGGATTCATCAGTGTCTGCACGCAGCCCCGCCACTGTGGTCTAGTGGCTAAGGGATCTCGACTGCTGACCCGCAGGTCGCGGGATCGAATCTCGGCTGTGGCGGCTGCATTTCCGATGGAGGCGGAAATGTCGGCCCGTGTACTCGGATTTGGGAACACGTTAAAGAACCCCAGGTGGTCGAAATTTCCGGAGCCCTCCACTACGACGTCTCTTATAATCATATGGTGGTTTTGGGACGTTAAACCCCACGAATCAATCAATCAATGTCTGCATGCATCATCATGTCTGCACCACATCAGCATATTTTGAGCCACACACAACAGTGGCAGAAAAACTCATTGTCATGCTGTTAACCTTAGGATTCCTGTTCTCTCACTGCTCCGTTTGCCAAATGGTGCTGTGTTGCTCATGCGCAAGCAGAATCTTGTTAATAAGGTTTGCAAACTTGCCTTGAAACATGCGCGCTACTTTTTGCTACGTTTTATCGACTTACAGCAAGTGCTGTCAGCTCGTTTTCCCCGTGAAATGTAGTGATGTAGTGCCGCTGAAGCAGGAAGAAAGGGGCACTCGCTCAGCGAGGTTGTGGTGCCGCCCTTTCTGGCATGGCGCCAGAGTCAGCGGCATGTTTCCAGAATGTTTTAGGAATTTTAAAAGAATATTGCAAATATTTCTTGGTTTAATCTTTTAGACCTCTTTCATTCATTTTAGCCTGGTTTTGAGCATTGCTAGCCTTGTTATGGTATGGTATGTGAGTGTGTTCATGCCATCCGAGATCCATGGAGTGGGGCTCCTGAAGTGCTATGCAGTTAAAATAACTGTTAGTTTTTAGTTTGTGATATCAAATAAGCTCACATAGTTCGTGGGAAGACAATCATATTTCCCTGGTATGTAGGAATTTTAGAAGAGATCTTGTTATTTCAAGGTCTCTATGGCCACATGCAAGCCATGACTTGCATTCAAATGATACGAAAGCACCTTTGCATTGGCCATTAGAATGGTGGTGCGCAAGAGCAGCAGCGAAGCAGGTACTCGAACCCCATGGACAAGGTGGTCCCTTGCAGGTGTGCTGCGAGTGGCTCACTCACTGGACTACGAAGAGATAACCAGCTATCAGCTAACAGTGGAGGCCCGCGATGGAGGTGAACCACCACTTAGTGCTCGTGCCTGGCTCAATGTGTCTGTCTTGGATGCCAATGACAATGCACCCATGTTCGGGGGACCCTACAGTGCTACCGTCACCGAAGATGCATCTCCAGGGCAGCTCCTGCTTCAGGCAAGCCATGATTATTGTTTTAAGTTCATTGCAGGCCACTCATTTCACCAGTATTGTGTCTTTTGCCACCTGCCATACCATTCCTTCTTATTCATTTCAAGGCTGCGCCTGTTCGTTCGCTTATCCACTCAGCCTTTTAGCTATGTCTTAGTGTTGTGGGGACTGAAACGCTGCTCTCAGAACACACGAACATAGCAGACACGATCTAGCAACCAAACAAAAGTACATTTCTTTAACTGCTTTTACAAATGACAAATCACCAGTTGGATCAAATACACCACTAGTGACATGCTAAACAACTTTATATAAGGTTTCAATACCACACTCGAGGAACAACAACAAAATGGTATTGTAAACGCGACATCGTTGATGGTGCTGTCCCCATGAAGCCATTTTGGGAGGTATCCATTCCCGCCAGCCATCAAAGCCTCGCTAATGTTTTCTTTGCGACCACCCAGCCTTGCTGTGAGGCGACACTGCTGGCACTATTTTGCTAACTATGATGATGATGAAACCACTGACCGTTCGGGGGCTGTTACAGTGAAATCTCGGTAGAATGAACCCCACATTAACTAACTTTTTAGATTAACGAACTTTGAAAAAATCCCGTGCCGACTGCTTATAGTTTCAATGTAAAATTATTTCACTACTACGTACTTCGGAATACCGAGCGTTTCAAAATAACGAGTGCTAATTTAGTTTCTAGTGATATTAATAACGCCTCAGTACAGCGAACTTATGTTCTGAAATCCATAGCGACCACCAGAGCGGTACGCAAGCAGACGACACAGCGAGCAGAGGCCTTGCTTTTGGGAACACGTGCGACGGTGCGGAGGGAAAAAAAAGGAAAGAACGACTTTCTTTTCTTTTTTTGTTGAAACGCTAATCCTGCAGGTTTACAAGCTCCAAGATGAGGGGCGAGGGCAACACGGGAGGGTAAGGTCGGCTTGGCAGAGGGGTAGTAATAGAGCAGGAAGCATGGGCGTATAAAACCTGAGACAGCGAGGAAGCAGAAAACGAAATGCAAGCAATTTTATTTTTTAGCTCTTTTTTTTTCTTCGAAAGAGGCGATGACAGCCATACGCTTCGGTTTTTTTCTTATTTTTGTCACTTCTATATGTCCTCCGGGAAGCCTTGAAAGTTGTGTTCATCTCTTTTCGGTGATTACTTATTGTGTCCCGAAAGCAAGTCGGTGTTTGCGCTGCGGCGCTACTACAATAAAGAGTTTTAAAATAATGTTTGCAGGTGCTGTTGGCGCCGCAGGCATAGTGGGCGCCATATGAGCTTTAGAATAGTGTTTGCCCTCTTGCAAACCGCAATGCAATGTAGGGTTGCGAAGCAGTGAAAGCACCTACCCAAGAAAAATTTGCTTTGCTGTGAAGCCTCTTTTCAAATTTAAAGGGGCCCTGCAACATTTACTGAACATGGTCAGAAAATGCTGCCGATCGGTTGTCGAGGCTACTGAGAACACCCAAGGCAAGTATTGTAGCGCAGCACGTAGCCTGTAATCCACAATAAATATTCTAAGCTAGAAATTGCTTTCTTTCCTCTGCAAATGACGCTACAAGCTCAAAATTTACTTTGTCTTGGTCACAGACAAAGTGAATTCACTTTGGCTTTGGTCACAGGCATTGGCTGATTTGAGCATGGTGCGCTCGTCATTACCGGGGCTGCCGCTTGTCCACAAGTGTGTGTGCGATCGCACTGAAAAGCCGCGTATTCGAAGAAAAAAAAAAAAAGGTGCTCAAGATCACCTTGAGGTGCGTGTGAAGTATATTTTTTTTTCTGCCGTGCCATTCTTCCCTGCTTAGCTTCCAGCTATTTCGTCGGGGCAAGAAGAGAGAATGCAAGTGTAGTGGCGACAAATTTTTGGAACTTCGCTCATACTGGACTGATTCTAGAAACTTTGCGGCAATAAACTTGTGAGGCAACAAGCATGTTTGCTGGCTCCATGGCTACTTGAAAAAGTGTTGCAGTGCCTCTTTAAAGGAACATGTTACCCTCAAATCAATTCTTCATTATATTAAGCTTGTTATGATGGCTTATATGATGCAAGTATAATAAATTCTAAAACATTAAGTATCTTACAGGTTATGACTCACATCCTATCAAAATGACACTCAAAGTTGTTTCGACTTTCTTTGATTGAAAAAAAAAATGGCATTTGCAGAGAGCCCCTATTTCAATTCAAAATAAATATTGTGTAGGTCAGTTGGGTCGTGATAAATATTCCCTTTTGTTTATATGTCTACATACCATTCGAATTCGATTCGAAATTATTCGATTAAAAGCACTATTCGCTTCAAACCAGAAATTCACTATTCGCACAAGCCTAAAATATTGTTATTAAGATATTTACAAGTTTTGAGTGTTACTGTGTTACTAGAGTAATTTTGTGTACTAGCGAGTGTTTGTTTTCGATTTTCGACTTTCTTTGCCATTGTTTGGTATGATAAAGGGCCTTTGTTGTGCCACACGTCCACCGCCCGTTTCTCTCAAATCCATCATTCGCAAATGCTCCCAAGATGAATCATGACATTTAATTGGCGAGCCTGTGCCATAATTTTTCCCTCGTGTGACCCAGTCACGTTATCGTTGGGGGTTGCAGAGATGGATTGGTTAAAGATACTGATAGTCATTCGCAAGGGAAAGCTCAATAAGGACAAGGGCTTAAAGTTCATTGAAGAAAATAGAGAATGGCTTAAATAAGAGTTCGAGGCAAGACGCGCCGAACAAGAGAAAGGACACAAAGCAAAGCATGTAGTAACGCTTAAAGCTTATGCTAAAAAAAAAAACAGAAACTCGAGTGACAATTGCAATTGGCTCAAGCCAAGGCGTGCATTAGACAGGTTGAAAAAAATCCCCAGAGGTTTTACAGAAAAAAGTTAGAGTGCCCGATCAACAAAGTTCGGATTCGGTTGAGCCAAAGGGCAATGAGCAGGGGGTTACGCAAATGAGATGAGGTTCGTAATTGAAGAACTGAAGGGAATGAGCCTTCAGGAAGAAAGAGGCGTTAGAGAAGACAGGAAAAGTCCCATAGAAGTTTCATGGGGAGAATTGAGTGTGCCTGACCACTCGAGCCTTCTTAGAGGGGAGCAGAATGAAAAGAGCTAAAATGCTGCAGATAGAGGTAACAAGGTGCCGGATAAGGAAATATGTGCCACTGCAGTGGCATATATTTAACAACATGTTGTTGAAGAAGACACAGAGAAAGAGAAAGTGACGCCTACACACAACAGAGATGCAGGGCATAGCATTCGATGAGGAACACCGATATTGATGAAAGAAGTGTAGCGATAGTGTGAGAGAAAGCACGAGAGAGGAATACGATGAAAGCAGTTCCTCAGATGCGCGGGGTCAATTGCCAAAAAGTAAGGGGAACGCAGACAGCTCCAAAAAAATTGGCATGCCGAGGTAATTATCAGGACCTGAGAAAGGTTTATAAAGTTGCGAGTTGACGCACAAAGCCATAAGGAAAGAATGTTGCGAAAACGCATAAAGTAGACTTCAGAGATTGGGAAGCAGAGAGGGTGATAAAAGATAAGACAAGACCTGGGAAAGTTGGTTTTAAGAGGCGTCGAGCCAACAGAAACAGTGAGATCATATGTAGCGAGCGTTCGAGACAAAGGGTAGTGAGTAGGCACAAGAAGAAGCTCGAAAAGATGCATAGTGTGAAGAAGCACCGACTTAAGCTAGTTGTATAGAATTGGAAAATGCTGTTGTAAGAAAAAACATTTTTCTGCTGCCACCACTGCCGAGGTCCATAACGACATTGCACGAAATTAACAAAAAAAAAAAACCTAGTACTATTGACACATAAGGTTCGAACCTCGGTTTGATAGGTGCCATCCCAGTATTCTATCTTTGAGCCACGCGGGTGATTCGGACTTGTTGGCAAATTCGCCATAGGCAGGCTTGATGTTGGGAAAGCAACCACGTTGATACGACTTATAAAGCGCTTTAAAACAGCGAAAGAACAAGCAGTCATTGCACAATGCGAATAGCGTAACGAGTGAGTCATCCTCTGCTTTGTCGTCCTATGTTTTCACACCTCCCAATTCTAGCCACCCTAGTAAGGGTGGTCACACCACACACTGGCTAGGGCATGATAGAAACTATAGCTGGAAGTGTATGCCACTCTTACTGCGTGCGAACGAACTCAACATGCGGCAAATGCCGGCGTTGCCAGGGACCATGTAGTTGCCACAGCAACGGCACATGCCCGTTGGCCCGTCACTGAGCCAACGGCCACGTGTTGTCAAACGCGCCTTGAAAGTCAAACGCGCCTTGAAAGCAAGCCGAGAAACTGTGCCCTAAACTTTACCCCATCGCAAAAAATAGAGAAGGAGGGGGAGTGTAGCAGCTTGAAAATATATGGCGGTTTAACCCGTGAACAACGCTACTTAAGCCATCTTTCCCGCAGTACACAAGTGGCCTGCAGAAAAAGCTTTTTAAAATTTGGAAGGGGCTGTTCACACTACACGGGACACAGCACAGTTTGTTCAATTCTTCATGCGTCTATACGCCACATATTTTTGAGTACAAGATGATCGCTGCTGTCTAAAAAGTTACTGGCATTCATTTGAACCACTGCATAATGTTTCTGCAGCCCTCAAAAGTCAAACAAAACTGCACGGCAGTTTTTTTTTTTTTTTTACACCCCTTTGCCCCTTCACCTACTCCTCTCTTTTACAAATCTCCATATCCACATTTCAATTCTCAGTGCCTGTCAAAGAATTTCACAGATGTGACAAGTACCAATCTGCACTTTAATATTATTTGCTGATTGGGGTGGTTCAAATAATTACTTTTATTGAAGTAAAAAAAAAACAATAGGAGGAGGAAAACGGATGCTTCCAAGAAAAGTCCGTAAACAGGGGTTGTGTCAAGCCGACGTTTTGACAAGCGGACTTGTCTTCCTCAAGGCTAGAACAGAACTGATTTCTTTACCACCAGAATGTCTACACTTCGTACCCTCTCCTGCATCCTAGCAAAGGAGGAGGAGGGGCATTATTGGTTATGCAAGTGTGAGAGAGTGAGGGAGGGGGACTGTGAGAAATTGTATAAGTGAAGAAGGAGCAGGTATTCCATGAATGAAAAGAAAACTGGGAAGGGGTGGGGAGGTGATTTTGTACATGTGTCGCAGAGTCCCGGTTGTCGAACCTATTGTCAGAAGTTAACTCTAGCAGGTTTGAAATCCCCAGAAAAGGGCTTAACTCGCAGTAGTTTTCTTTTGGGTATGTACCATTCAGAATGGATTCAAGAGTCTCTTAGAAACTTTTATACCTACTGGCTGGAGTGTACTGAACTTATGAATAAGGTATGACTCTATATTTTCTGTCTCTCTCAGACCAGAAGTTTGACTGAAGAATGTAAAGTTCGAGATCGTTGAAGTTGTGTTCAACAACTGAGACCCTATTTTCAGCCCTTAACGAACAGCATGACTACAAGGCTGACTTGGTCACATGTGATGCATTACAACTTGTTAACCAACAAAATAATGTGTTTTTTACACACAATGGTAGGTAAGGCCCCTAAGAACAAAGAAATTTTTTTAATTAACAATGGCCTTTTTGGTATTTTCAAACTTCAGTATTTATGATAAACCACGAATATTTCATCATGATTATGCAGTACAACAAATGTGATAAAACTGCGTGAAGTATTTAAAGAAGAAGCGAAAGTACCAATTAATAGTATCTACTGAGTGTCGTTATTTCCTGTTTAAGCTATATGTAACAATAAATGCCTAAAATACAAGCACATTGTGCAGTTTGCCATGTTTGTCATTTTTTACCTCTGAATTTTTTCAACAAGCAAGAAAAATACTTGCTTCAGATCATTGTCCATAACTTGTTCTCTAAGGGAAATAAATAATATGCTTGAGAAGACCATCATTTTTTTTTACTTCCATGGGCTCCAATTTCAGAAATCCCGAGATTTGTGGAAGAGCAAATTTTGCAGCTGAACGTTATTTTTTTCAGGCAAGACAATTTTTTTTCTAACAAAACAGTTTAAGACTAATGCTCTGCATAGTTCCACAGTAAAATTCATCAAAATCGCGAATGGTGATCAGGATCTCATGTTTGATCTTACCTGGACACACCCAGCACTGGAACTATGTCTTCTTTGTGTGTATTCGTAGCTTCTTTACATGTGCTTTTGTGTACTGTTTCATCAATGTCATGGCTCACCATCAGGACATGGTTAGTTGGCATGGAGACGAAACCTTGTGAAACTAGCGGGGCTTGTTGCCAAGCTAGTTGGCTGTTTACTTGAGGAAAATAGGTTTTTGCTTAAAAGACGACTTCATGGTGAATATATGTGTTTGTTCTTTGATTTTTTTACTTGTTTTCATCCTTATAGTGCTATACCTGTAAATTTTTATCACAGCAGTATCTGTGGCTGTGCGTTTCTTTAGTGCACGAGTTCTGAATGAACTTGCTGTCACGAGTGGACTAAAAAAGCTGTGTCACATACAGGTGCAGGCCAGTGATGCAGACAGTAGTGGTGAGCTGCGATACGCCTTGCTGCACCCAGGGCCTTTTTTCTTAGATCCTGTCACTGGGCAGCTGCGTCTAGCAGGGCCTCTGGACCGAGAAATGGCAAGTTGACCATTAATTTGCTGGGCCAGTAGTGTCCGCAAAGTTCTCCATTGCTTGCATAGATGCTTATTGAAAGTTAAATTTTGTACTTTATGTCAGTGCAGAATTTTTCTAAGGAATTTAGGCTCTGCACTTATATGCAACCGATCTCTCATTGCTCTCCCTAGCACATTCAGTAGCACTGATAGTTGAGCGGGTTTATCATCAGTGCTCATGTCTTTGCATCGCGTAATCATCTCCCCAGCTTATTTGTGCTCCTTCTGTTCTGCCACAGCAGCTGATACTCAGCCATTTCACTACTGCTGCGGTTTGATTCAAAATGAGGCACATCGGGTCTGAATTTAGGTGCTGCATTGCTGGCTTCTATTGTCTTTTGTCCCAATTGCAATTTTCATCATGAGACTTGCACCCATCTGCAGTTGCTGAGCCATGCTGTTAAGCAATAAAGTTGTCTTTTATGTGGATGATTGATGAAGGTATGAGTATATAAACATGGGAGTGTCACCGCTGGTAGCCATGATTGTGAGTAAGGAACACTTTCTTTAATGCTCACTGGCATCACGAGCATCTGTTCAGCTAAGAAAAATGAGCCCTTAAAATTCCCTTAGGTGAATGGAGGTATTTGTTGGGAGCAGATAGGCATCCTTAGGAGTCACTTTGTTAAGATGGCAGTAGTCTACACACAGGCGATGAATGCCATCTTTCTTAGGCACCAAAATAATTAGGGATGCCCAGGCACTGGAAAAACGACAAACAATGCCATCTGAAGGCATCTCGTTCATCAAGCCGTCAATAACCTGCCTTTTGTGGCCAGGCTGATGGGCCTAGGGTTACACTTCACAGGAAATGCATCGCCATTTTAGATTGATTGGCTCACTAAATCGGTACTGCCCGGTTCATTGGTGAAGAGCTCATCGTAATCATATAGTAGTGTCGATAGACGAGCCTTTTGTGTATTGAATCGTGCAGGCGATCAAAAGATGCAGAACACTTGCGTGTAGTGCCACTCCAATCCGATAAAGCTCTTGAGCTGAAGAATGCGTAGCGCAGGGGCCTGCTCTTGAACTTCGCACGCAACACGATTTCGACGCCTCTACTGCACAGACAACCGAGAACACCGGCGAGCTGATGAACGGCTTTAGCTCGGAAATTGGTCTGTCGTGATAGCCTTCATTCCCAATGTCCACTATGATACCCGTTTTTAGGAGAAAGTTCCAATCCAAGAATCAAAGGAACACTGAGCCCTGGAAGATGAACCAAACGCTTGCGTCTCGTTCGGCCTCCCTATCTGACAGTCAACCTCGCGGAGCCCGCCGACTGGGCCGTGCATTTCGCGAGGGTGAATGTCGTTCGGCTGTCTCAGAAGCGCACCAAGTGCTCAGCAAGTGAGACAACACCTGTTAGCCAAACAACAAAGCGCTTGCGCGGCTGTGTCCACCAATGCGAGGATTCGAAGCCAGCAACGTTTACTAAAATAAATGGCACGGTTGCACCAACAAGACTGCCTGCAAGGTACTCAGTGAAGAAGCATGGGTTTGGCCACTCATGCCCTTATAAACAAAGGGCGTCCCTGTTTCACTGCCTCAAAGGAGGCCTAAATACAGGGCATTTCCTCTGTAAAAGAAAGGTGTCTTCGTCGGTAGAATAGAACAAAACAAAGATTTTAATGGCTTGGAGAGGTAACAAACGTGTCCATGTCTAGCAAACGCTCGTTTGGCACACACCAGACATGAGCTCTCTTCTCGTGCCCACACTTTGTTCCCTTCTTTCTTGTCTTAAATCTTGGCCTTCGAGATGGCGGGCATGTGGCGTGTTTTTTTTCGGCCGTCCCAATCGCTGCGCTCCCCAGCAAAACCGACGAATATCGCCTCCCGTGCCTGGGTTCCGCGAGAGGACGCATTGAGTAAAGGTTCCGGCGGCGGCTGAGACCATGGCATGCAGCAGAGCGCTTGAAATTTCAACATGCGCACTTTTTTATTTTTTCGCTTGCTTACGGGAAAGAATCGCCGCCATGATCTTCTTGCTGAACTGAAAGAGAGTATTTTTTTCTGTTACTGCATTTATTTTGGTCCAGTTCGTGAAGAAAAGCATGGTAACTGTTGCATTTTTTTGATAGGTAGTTTATGGAGATATCAATTAATCTGTGTAAGTATTATTTTTTTCACTAAGGTTCGTTTTGTCTCGGGGCTAAATACCTCAATTTTAGAAATATAGAGGCATTTTAGTATTCCGCCTTTTCTCTGGAGACTTCGATGCAAACTAGACTAATTATCGTCATTGAATTGTATTGCTCTTCTATCGTGGCTCATAATTTTACTATTATATCGCATACGGATATTTATGAGGTGCTCAATCGAAGTGCAGTTCATCATAAAGGGATTTGTCACTCTCATATGATACAGTCGAATCCGTTTATAAGGAACTCGTTTATAAGGAACTAAGTGTCACAATAAATGGTGGCTATATCAGTAGTTTGTTGTTGTATATGTAGCCGCCCATAAAAAAGGCCACATAGTGGCCATACTGCTTTTTCTTTCTGTGTATATTTATTTAAAAAGTGTGACCAACCCCTCTGCTGACAACGGTACCGCCACGTCGAACGAATCATTCCTCGCTAGTTGCCTGCAGTACCGTATTTACTCGCATAATCCTCGCACTTTTTTTGCCGGAAACCTGATGCAAAGTTAGGGGGTGCGAGAATTACGCGGGGAAAACTTTCCACGAAAACGCAGAGAGCGAAAAAAAAAACGAAGTGGCTACAAATCGGGATTCTCACACCAGCAACTTACAGCAAGCTTTACAAAGTACTAATTAGAACTTACCTCAAAAATAAAAGCAGAGGTTCAACACAAGGCAAGATTTATTTGAGACATAAAAATTGGAAGCAAATAGTAGAGAATTAGAATACCATACGCGAAGCTTGTGGGCATTGCGGGCGTAGCGGTAGCGGTCGGCGCTCAACAGGAGCCCTCAAAAGGTAAGCGTAGGACGTCAGTATTGGGCTGATGGCTATTTAACAGAATCGTCCGTAGTTTCCTTCTGGAGAAATAAAGTTTACCATCAATCCCAGTTTTAGGCACACGGCAGGCCCAACGCGTCTTGATGGCTTTCAGCTGCCGTCACCAGTAGCAAACACAAAACTCGTAGGCTCCGAAGGGCCTACCGGCGTCCCTGTTGCCGTTGTTTAGCGTATGATCTATCACTTGCAACTTGAAGCAGCCGTGTGACTTCAGTATCGCCCCATAACGTGCCAAGATAACCGACACAACATACAGAACACGCCGCAACGCGCACTGGCCACTTCGGCTTGGCTTGGATTGGATTGAATCTCCGTGCAATAGTATGCTTGATGCTTAAGAGATGACGCCAAATGGCGCGCGCTATCATCATCAGTGGCTGGAACGAGCAGACGACATTATTGCGGCAGTTTTTCGGGGTGCGATAATTACTCGAGGAAAAATTTTTTTCGTATTTATCTTGGGCGATGTTGGGGGTGCGAGAATTACGCGAGTGCGAGGATTATGCGAGTAAATACGGTATGTCGCTTACTCTCGCTACCCTCGTCATTACATGTCTGTTCAATTGTAGTTTGTGGTGTACACGTATCCCGAAGGAGTACGGCCACCAGCGTGGGTCCGGTCTTAGCGAGCCGCAGGGCACGCGTTAACCGTCGCCGTGGCGGGAAACACGATACTGCTCAAGTCGCAACACTTTATTGTGGCAACACCAAACGCAGTACAGCCCGTTGCAAAAAAGGCGCGGCGGGAAAGCAAGTAGGCTTATCCACGCCACGGGCACAAAGTACTACACAGGGTGCCACGAGCACGTCTCCGCGGTAAAGGTAATCCACGGAGACACCGAGACAAAGGGGGCCCGGTTGCTCGAGCGAGGGCAAAGGCGCTCGCGTTGGCTTCGAAGGGAGACGGGTCGGCGTAGCTAGGCCACGCACTAGGACACCGTACTGCCCTTCGGCCGTGAGTACGCAGCGGGGCAACAAAAGGTGAGCGTTCGCATCGGGCGCGAGGCGCCGTCAGCGAAGTCCGACGAGCCCCGAGCGACGGGACTCGACGGACGGAAAAGAATGCGTGGCTCACCGTTTGAAGTCCCGGACTGTACTCACTGCTCCTGACGCAGCCCGCGAAAACCTCTCGGGAGGCTCCCCGCGCGGCGCCACAGTCAACATCCGCTACCGGGTGAGGGAGTTAAACGTCATTCCGCCCTTCCCAGCGCGGCAGACAGCAAAGGAGGGTAGGCATGTCGGGACATGAGAAAAGAGGCGGCAAAGCCCGCGCAAAGGCAGCGGGCCAGCCTCTATTTCCCACATCCCCCTCTCCTAAACTTGTCCTTTACCGGTCTGCAAAAGGCAGCCGGACGTCACCCATGCAGTTAAAATGACACTGCTATGAGCGGTAGCTAACCTCAGTCCAGCCCTGCTACTGCTGCTTAAAAGAAATATGATTACAAAGGAGAAACAAAAACATAAATAACAAAATAAACACACGACACTATACAAATACTGCAGAAGGGAGCACAGAAACGTGGCACTAGTGTTCGTGGTGCTGAAGGGGGATAGCGTCCACTGCGCGGAGGGGAGGAAAGGCGTGACAGTGTCCGCTGGGTGCGATGCCCGAGTGCGAGGTCAGAGGTACCGGAAGGGGGGGCTCACTGATGGCTTGTTGCTGCTCTTGATAAGCCGCGAGTCCGACGAAAGCCGCTTCGGTTGTTCGGAGGCCCCGCATTTCTGGCTCGATGAGGGAGCTGGACGTTGCGGGAAGCCGGGCCTCTCCGGTGGTCAGGGAGGCCGAACCAAAATTGGCTGCGAGGCGCCCTGGCGTTGGCCGGCAGCATATAGCTGCTTTCAGCTGGCCTCGTGCAGGAGCCATGGTGGGAAAGGCAGCACGGCTTCTTCGGGGACAGCCGAGAGCAGAGCACAGCCAGATGGTCTGACGTCAGTGGGTCAATGACCCCCCAGCACCTCCAGCGTCCGCATCGATGGGGGGGAAGCTATGACGCACTCCTCGCGGGCTCGCACCGAAGCGTCACGCACTCACATACGCACACACACCGCCGACAGCTGCGCGAGCGTAGGCGCAAAGCGTCCTTCGTCTCTCTCTCTCCCGGCAAGCACCGACACGCAAGGTCACACACAGCTCCCTTCGCGGTAGACGAAACGAACACGGAAAAAAAAGTGAAAACAGAGCAAAACGACACTCAACATCTGGCGAAAAACATAAAACACAAATAACACTTAATATTACACAAAAATAAACAACGCAAGGCAAGTGTTTCCAACGCTTTGAAACTAAGACGACACGATGGTGGCACCTGCTCGTCGCTTTGCATTCTACACCTTATCGCCTCCGAGACAGGCACGCATGCCTTCTTTTGTTTTTGAAGATAACTGCCAGATAGCGCTTGTGTCTAATGTGCCTTAATGCGCTCGTTCAACTTTGCTGCACAGATTGAGGCTCTGTACTAACACAGTGGGTCCGGTATACAATTCGTCGATTTCGTCGTGCAGAAAATCAAACGTTTTTTTCACTCTCTCCAGACGCAAGACTATCGTCTTTCGATGACATTTGCAGTGAAGCATGTAGATATGGGGCCAATTTTTCAAGTTAGTACTTTTAGATTGTCCAAGTTTTTATGTCTATGTTTATCGCTTTATCAAGTAAAAGCGTAGAGCATAATACAGGGATCTATAATTAGCATTATTTGCACAGATTTATATTTGAAAACAACTTGTATCACTCACTCTATTACTCGGTTTCAGAGATGACAAAATGTAGAAAGAGAAAATTCTTTGCAAAAGTTTAGATATGAATTATAGTGCTTGAGTTCTCAATTCACTGTGCTCACCTCCCTTCCCCTGATTGGTATGTCCCACATTTTGTTAGTAAGGCTTGACTAGCACATTTACGCACCTTTGTTCCTGCTGTTTTCATATCAGTAAATACCAGCAATTTACCTTTTAACTTATGATGTCGTACCTTGACAGTACATATACTGCATAAAGATGTGCCTTGTGACTGGGTGTATGTGTACGTGTGGTGTCTGAGGAGTGAAGGAAATGCAGGTCAGCAGATATGTGCTGGAAGTTGAGTGCTGGGATGGAGGCACGCCCCCATTGTCGGCCCAAGCCCTGGTGCACGTGGAGGTGCTAGACGTCAACGATCATCCGCCGCGCTTCGATCAGAGCAACTACACAGCTGTGGTTCACGAGGGTCGCCAGGCTGGCTGGACGGTGCTGCGCTTCTCACTCAGTGACGCAGACTCACCGTTGCACGGACCTCCATTTCGGCTGCAAGTCGACGAGCCCTCGTTTTTTCGTGTTAAGGGCCACGAGTTGCAACTGGCTCGGCCGCTCCCCCCCCAGTCGCGCCACGAGCTGCGCGTGCGTGCCTACGACTCTGGCAGCCCACCTTTATCGGCAGAGGCACATGTCACCGTGTTGGCCATCCAGAAAAGCCGGTTCCGACCGCAGGTGCAGCCCCTGAATGTACTCGTCTGCTCCTTCTTGGACGACTTTCCCGGAGGTCTGCTGGGCACGGTGCACGCCACGGACGAGGACCCGTACGACCATGTTGACCTGTCTCTGTCGGGACTTCACGCCTCGCTCTTTGTGCTCGACCGGGATGACGGAACCTTACGGGCATTACCAGGCCTCGATGCGGGCAGCTACGTGCTCAATGTCACTGCTTCGGACAGCAGCACCCCGCCAACGCACGCGCCAGTGACAGTGCATGTCGTGGCTGTATCCGAGGAGCTGCTCAAGGCCTCCATTGCACTGCGTCTCACAGGAACCACGACTGCACGTTTTGTGGCTGCAGATCGGCGGCAGCTGCTTCGGGCTGTGAGGACAGCCCTGGGTGTTCGTCTCAGAGACCTGGTGGTACGTTCTTTTTGTTTCTCTTTTTTTGTCTGAATGAGGATGGCTATTTTCAGCTCGCCAAATTGCACAGTGAATGGCAAGTTTCAGTCTTTGAATTGCATTCTCATTTATGGTGCATTATAATTATCCTCACTAGGTTAGTGACTTCCCATGACCAACTGGTCCTGCTTATTCTTTCCAAGGCAACAACAAACTCAATCACCTAGTGGCCAGCAGTATTTTATAGTGCTGACACAGGTTGGTTTACTTTAACCAATGGTAAAAAACATTGCAGTTTTCTTGTGATATTTGTGTGGTATATACCACAGCACAGTGGTTTAAAAAAGCGCTACCTTAATGCAGAGTGTGTGAAGCATTGGTTCTGCGCTGACACATCATATTTTCAAAAGCCAAATGTGTGCTTTGCATATTTCTCTTGCCTGTAAATTGCTCAAGCCAGCCAAGCACGAAGATAACATGCGAGTCCTTAATGAGTACACTACAGACTGTGGAAGGTGACACACAAGCTAACCACTCAAACGGCACAAAATGTTGGCCATAATATCTCTGAATACTCTGTCGTGCACCCTGTGAAGGAATATATTATTGCAGGTAATGTAAGTAAGCTTTATGAAAATATAACTTTAAGAAATGCATCCCACAATAGTTTCTGCGGTCAGGTGTGTACCACGCAGTGGTTTGTGGAGTCAAGTGATGCTTATACCAGAAGTGGTAATGCACTTATGTTTGGAAGAAAGCCTCGACGATCGATTTGTGCAAGGGTCCAGGCTGCAAAAACGAGGATGTTCATTCTCACTTGTTCGCAATGTGCTTTCATCTTTATATTGCACTGTAACAGCAAAGAAGGAAGAACTTCATTTGCCATATCTTTTGCTTTTTTCATAGCATGTAATGATGCCTACCACAGCATGACATGAAGATGAAGTTATGCATTCATCTTCATCATCAGTGTGGCTACACCCATTACAAGGCAAAGGCCTGTCCTATGTTTTCACAGTTAACCTAGTCCGGTGCTAGCTGCCATCATGTTATCCTCACAATTTTCTTTCTTAACTTTAACTACCCACTGGACTTCATGCCTTTGCGGCCCATTACTCTTAATGACCATCTTGTGTTCTTGCCGCCACTACACCCACCTAATCGGCTCTGCGGACAGCCCGAATTGTGAACGCTGCCAAGTGCGCGAAACGATAGCTCACACATTTTGTGACTGTGCATTATTGGCGCAAAGAAAAATGCTAACTGCAACGTTGGCAAGCATTGGACGAACACCATTAAGTGAAAGCCACATATTGTCAGCAATGAAGGACCAAACAGTGTCGAAAACTGCTACAAAGGCTGTTCTATACTTTATGAAAAGCACTGGACTAGAAAATAGACTGTAGGGTACTATGCTAAGTGGATACTGTACATACGCACCACCTCTTCTTGTCCCCATCATCACCCTTCATCCCTCTTCCTTCCCCTTTCCCTTATCCCCTGTGTAGAGTAGCAGGCTAGAGCGAACTAGCTCAGGCGGACCTCTCTGCCTTCTAATAAATTCTCACTCTCTCTCTCTCTCTTGTGTTCTTGCTACATGCTCTGCTTGCCCTGTCATGAGGTGAGAAGAAGATGAAGACTACGAAGTGAGAAGAGAAGCTTGTGGTACAGGCGCGAGCACGTGCAGGGCGTAGCACACAGCTCGAAGCGCGTGACACGAGCAAGAGGAATTTGCGATGAGCTGGCATTGCTTGCATGGCTAGGGAAGAAGACGGTCGCATAGGTAGCTACCACGGAGGAAAATTAGACAGAAGGGAAAACTCAACACCTTTCCGCGCCGCGTTCTGTCAGCCACAATAGTTGCGGCGAACGTCCTGACAGCGCCACCTACATAACCATGGCCGAACTGCTGCGCCGAAGCGGCAGACCTGAGAAGCGTCATCTGCTTGCACACCTATGTTCACTGCTCAGTGTATCAGTGCATAGCTCAGATACACTCGCTATGCGAGACGGCAAAACGTTATGACGTGTTTTTGCCAAGCTAGCCAGAGCTCTGTGGGAGAGAGGCCATACCCGGATGGTCCACAAGCGCTAAACTGGTTCGCTTTCACTCTTTCACCTTTGCACGCGAGGGTACATACATTATTCGGGAGAACATGGTGTACAGTATGCCCTAATAAAAAAAATATATATGCCACAGAGCCCTCCATATTTAAAAAAATATAGAATAAAAGAAAGAATAGAAAAAAAGCTTTTCTCCTGTGTCCATGCTCTTCCGAAGTTTGTTTTATGTTGGAACTTAGTGAAAACCATTCATTCCTGCCAAAATACAACACTCGAGCACGTAAAGCTGAGAACCACGCTTTTTCACAATGTAGCTTACCTTGAAGTTTGGAGGTTGGTAAAATGTTTGCCTAGGACTTCTGACTCATGACGAGTATCCTCAAACCTTCAATCATTTGGCGTTGCTTTTATCGGTAATTTCAGAGATATTCCTGCCAATTCTTGCTTTATTTCTGGATATGAGTAAACTCCGTTCAAAACGTAAGGTATCGCATCGGGGAGCTACGAGAACCTAGGCTGGTCACAGATGGCGGTAAATTTAAACTTAGCGTACTATCGTCCCTGCCGACTGTACTGCTGCAAAAATAATTTTCTTAGGCGTAGTCGCTTCCTTTTCATTTTTGTTCTCTTCTTAATATAGGCCTCACCAATTCTTGCTGCCGTTCTTCGTCACACGGAGTGTTGAAAGTTCAGATGCATTTTTTTATGCAGTATTTATTCACAGCTCGAAGCAAGCGGCAGTCTCCGCTCTTCTGTTAAATTAGCTGCTGCCATCTGTTCGAATGTGCTTCCTGAATTTCTGTCTTTCTTTCCCGTATAGTATATCTGTATAGCGCTGTTATATCAATGAACATGCAAAATCTATCCTCAAGCTACACAATGAGTTAATTCAGGCACGTGCCTAGCTACGAATAAAGATTGTCTGCTTTTTAAATTCGACCACTTACTTTTTTTTGTTGTCCAAAGAGCATATGATCCAATAAAAATAAATAGAGATGCTCACCCTAAGATGCTCTACTTACTTCATTTTGTTTTGGCAAACCGCGCTGGTGAAAAACTTTCATAGCCGCATCCAGTAGCACGGTGGAATCGGCAAGTGGCTGATGTAGCAGAGGACTACCTGGTTTTCCCCGGGCGCCGTCGGAGACTGCTGGTGCACGTGCTCTCTTGCGGCGGTAAACAAATAATTCTGTGCGTCGCGGAAAGAATCGCTGCGCACACGTTCCCAACATTCTCTCCCAGGGTGGCATTATCGAGGCGCGAACTCACGCTGGCGCCGGCTCAGAGTTTCCTCTCTTGTCTTTCTTGCTCCGTGGTAGCTACGTTCTGCCCTAGGACGCAGCGGACGTTCAGCTTCGGAGGCCGCGACGCTGGAACTTCGTGGCGTGGCCCTTAACCTCGGCGATGCTCAGATGAGACTTCTCGAAGGTGCTGCAGCATCTTTTGACTGGTCTGGACGCTCCCACTGCAGTCACCCTTCGAACATTGGCCCACAGTAATCCCCAGGAAGCCATGTTGTGACTTCAAGAGGGCCAGTCTCGTCCTAGGACTAATGAACAATGACAATGTGCCACATCACCAAATGCAACCTGGGACAGGCTTACGGCAGTGCAGCGTGACCATGGTGTAGCGGAGCTACGATTTTAGCAAGATTATCGGGAACAACGGCGTCGGACGAAGCAGTTTGGACGTAACAATCGACGGAGCCAAGTAAGGTGCTTCCATTAGGGCTACAATCAGAGGACAAGGTCTAGGTGGCGAGACTGAAGTTAGGGACAGCAATTAGACTGTAATTAGGAGCAGCTGAATATTATGAGTTTGCTTATGGTGATTTTGTCAGTAGTGTTCTAGGTTTTTGCTGTTTTTTATTTGTTTATTTTTTTCTTCTAGTTTTTCTTCTTGTTTGTTAACAAATCATATTTGCTGTGCTGACCAGCGTCCTCAGGATCTATCTCCACTAAAAATCGCTTTCGAGATCCGTGATAAAAACAGTTGGCGATCCTGCCAGGATTCTTTTCCTGTCCAGTCACCGATACTCGCAGAGTATCGCACTTCACGGTGATAGCTAAGGACTAAGGAGTGACTACGAAGGAGACCCTGAAGTTTTTTGAAAATGCCTGAGAGAACAGGACAAGCAGATTGCTCTGAAAGAGAGGGAATGGGAGTATGAACGAGAGAAACTGAAGCATGAGTTCAAATGTCAGAAAAAGCTTCTTGAATTAAAATCGAGACTAGCACAACTAAATGATATGCCGCACAACAAACAGTGTGTGATGTCAACATTCTCGGGTTGCAGTCATTCAAACCCACCTGAGTATATTCAAGAAAGTTTATGGCCCCATTTGATGAAAAACGTGATGATTTGGATGCATATTAGCACAGATTTGAGCAGATTGCAAGGCGTCAAGGAAAGAAAACAGGAGAGTGGGCAACAACACTGAGTTTGTGTCTGGTCAGGAAAGCTATATGCTTTTTTGGTAGGATGCCCGTCTATGAATCTATGGACTATGATAAGGTGAAAAAGGCACTGTTGAAACGATTTCGGTTGACAATAGAAGGCTTTTGAAAGTGGTTTCGTGGGTGCAAGCCTGCAAATGCTGAGACAGCAAAGCAGTTTGTGTGCCACCTGTCAAATTGTTTTGACAGCTGAATGGAGATGGCAAATGTAGAAAAAACATGAGGGTGTGCGGGATTGCAGAGCTCTGGAGCTATTCCTGAATTGCTGTAGCAACAATTAAGGGTTTTCTTAAAAGAATGGAAGGTCCTTTCACAGGATGATGTGGTAAAACATGCCATCAGTATTTGGAGGCCCAGGAACTTGGAAACCTAGGGAAAGTCATTGAGGATTTTGCCGGAGCTAAACCAGAGGAAACAAGGGGTACACCTCAGGCATTACCTAACAAGCCACAGCGACCACTCAAGTGTTTTTTGTGTAACCACATTGGGCACTGAGCTTT